GTTTTGATAAATCCCTACTAACCCAAACAAGGAATGGTGCATTGTAGTGTTTGACAAGATATTATTATCGCGGTATTATAATAGTTTTGAAAGATGTTTTGCAGAAGTCGGCTGTAGTTTTTATTTTTTTGAAGGTGTACCAGGTACCTGGTACTTTTCACCATTTCTCCATACATTTGTCTTTCAACACTTAAAAAGTTAGACGTACGCAGGCCAGACGGACATCCAACCCAACAAGTTCGACTCATACGAACGGAAGGCAAGCCATATCGCGCCGGCATGTCACTTTGTGTCAATGTCAGATTTCCCTAGCGCGAAACCGTAGTGCTGTCGGACAAACTACATCCACACAAAAGGGGAATGACCCTATACAAGTGAGATATCGATGTTGTGTACAATGCAGTAGGGAACAATACAATATGTCCCAAAGTACTGTATCCAACACAGAATCGTCGTAGAGGTCGAATCAAGTTCTGTAAACAAGGGATTTTCCAAGGGAAAATCGTTGAACTTACTTTTGTGATTGAATCATCAATTCAAGCCAAACATTAATCAAATAGGAACAATTTCACTCAAAGTATACCTAGACACAGGAGAACTATTGTTGTGAAAGTGTTGTACAATCGATTACAAATTTAGATTGCAGAGAGTTTGTTCTGAGCGCTAAAGGCACTCACGATAGAGCACATTTTGCTTTATTCTAACATCCAAAACCTGTGTCGCTGGCATGCATGGTTTGTTTCTGTTTCCGCCGTGCGTTGTCTTTCAGTATTTGCTTCAATCTGGCATTCATTGTTCAAATATAATCACTACAAACATCATATGTCTGCATGATTCCTTCTACTTCTCTGATGGCCGTTGAATCCTGATTCTTCCTGATTTGCTCTGTTCACACTATTTTTACCATGTCCAGGAGGTGCTACACTGGAAAGTAATGGAGCCAATACATCTCTATTGCATACCATTTAGCACAGGCTTGCGCCATCCAATTGAAATGGCACATGAATATGAACTGTTTTCTCCAAAGCCGCATTGAATGCATAGGAACTTGATGGAGGAAGTCATGTCGTTGATTGACTCATTGCATCTTTTGTTTTCAAAGCACAAGTGGTTCAAAATCCTTGTAGTACTGTTTTGTCATAGGAATTTACGTAGCCAGACTTGTTGGTGTGTCAAAATTTGTACTGGTGTTGCAAACTCAAAAAAAATACCTTGTATGTACAACTCCTACTGATGGTTCAAAGTCATTTCTTTGATTTTTTAGTGTTTTTTTTTTGGTTTTTCATGGGCCCAAACCTAGTGATAAACCACAAAGGTGCGTCTTTTAAAAATGACCATTTTAAAATTCTATGGTGATACTTTTTTAGAAAGGCCTAGATCCAGATCCCTTTTCCCTCTGGCCTCCTCTTTGGCGGCTTCCCATACAAATCATCTCTGTGCGTTCCTCAGCTGAGAGCTCACCTTGTGTTCCCCATCGTTTTGCAAAGTAATTCCATGTACTTTTACTTTTTCTAATTTGCAATTATTATTGGGAGCCTGGAAATTTTTTATTTCACGTAGACTTGGTACTTAATATCTTGTGTACATACAATATACGGGAAAGAAATTGAGGGCGGAAAAATAGCCCATGCGCCGAGCATACGGTCATGAAGATAATATAAATTACTTAGGCAAACGGTAACCTTCAACCTTAGATTTGGTATCTCCTCCTGAGATATAGCAATAGTCTAAAAACTGAATAGCCCACGCCACAGACAATAATATTTATTGTGGCGTGGAAGAAGAATTATTGGAAAAGTCGATTTTCTCATAGATCCTTTGCACTTGCCGATTCTGCTTTTGTTAAATTCCAAACGTACGGTACCTTCAACTTCATCCTGGTAGGTGATTTCAGCCAATGATCGTTAGTCGGATCAATCAACCACCACAAATCACCGACAAAGGAAAGTCACTGCGGTATTTGGGAATTTCGAGGTTTGGGGTCAACCAATCTCTTGGCTATCGTATTATGTATCGTACTGTACCGGTAATCGTACCGGTATAATACATTATACTGTAATGTTGTATTTTACCATCGTAGTACATGTACTATCTCCATCAAGTTAGTATCTCACAAAACCATTTACACCTATCTCCACTACGGCCAGTTAATACTCATACGCTACTACTGGTAGCAGTTTCTTTTCATCATGTGTTACATCTTGTTCTCGTAAAACTGACCAGCCAGCATCATAGCATGGCACTGTCGCTGTATCTCATCACCAGGAAGCGCGCTGTAGTAGCGATGGATTCCCTATGACCACTTCTACTGGCTGCCCTAGAGCATTAGGTGATAGAATGATGAGAAACTGAAATTGCGTAGCACTAGAGTACATACGATGGTAGTACTGATATATTTTACTAACAAGAAGTGCCCACCAGCCACGAAGTCAAGGAAACCTAGCTAGTAACCCTACCTACAGTAACCCATAGCTCTATAGTAGACGAATCCGCTCCTATCCCGATAGCATTGCATCCGTTAAAACTCACCCAGTAGCTACTGTAATGAACTTCTTTGAATGTGTTCAACCTTTCGACTGCCCTGTTCACTCTTCATCCCAAACAGAAGAAATTCGCGCGTCCAGTGAAACAAGATTGTAACTTCTTGTGGGACATAAGTGCCAAGCCAAGAATGACGCAGAACGGAGAAATAGTCCCTTGCAGAACTCAAAGTGTGCGAACGAAGAACTGGTACGTGTACCAGTATGGTACCTGGTACCAGTTACCGTACACGTACTGTACCATACCAGCCCAACCAGCAGGCACCGCCCACGTGGTACAAGTACAGTACGTGTGCGTACGACACCAGTCAGGGCGCAGGCAGGCACCAAAATAAGCCGGACCCAAAGGCCCAATGGAATTTTTAAAAGGCCCAATCAGTTTCTCCAATGTCCCAAGACCTTTGCGTTTCTACCGTAGGGACTTTACGGTGTGGCCGTGATTGATTTTCTGAATTGGTCTTTTCCTTCCATACTGGAAACTCGCCCAAGCTGAATGAGCAATATAGTAAACAAAGCCCACAAAACCAGTCTAGTATAACTCAAGACTCCTTCCTCGCGACCCTCGTTTTCACACAGAGTCGGTGGTGTAGCAGAAGAAACGCACGCATCAATATCGGCTTGGAACGAAAAACTTTCTTTAGTCTTTATATTGAAGAGAAGAGAACAGACACCTACTGTACTGTAGATCTGTATGAATACGCTGGATTACAGAGTGATGAGTCCTTCAGGAGAGAAACAGCTACCATTAGAACCTTCAACAGAAAGAATATTGCGCCAAGCTTTGAATGTGGTGTCAACCCAGTCATCATCATACTCTGGTTCTGATGTCAATCTAAAGAAGATTGCAAAAAAGCGAAGAGGAGCTGGCGGAGCAGTGGATGTTGAGTACACGAAAAGCAGCAAAGAGTATCTTCAGAAGGCACAGCAAAGTCTAAGGCAAGAGTCTGGTAGCAAAACCTCTTCAGAGTTTTCGTCCAATTCGAATGCTACGAATGAATCATCAGCAACTCCACCAACAGATCAATCATCGTCCAACCCATATGGTTATGAAGACCCAGATGCCGCCCCAAGGAAATTCAGTGGACCAGCACACCGTAGCTTCAGCCAACCCGCTATCTCCTCTGCTGGCAATCAGTATGGATACGGAGATCCAGCGGCTTCAAACCCATATGGATACGGAGACGCTGTTCCTTCCAAAATTGGGGATCCAGCGGCCTGTAATCCTTACGGTTATGGAGACGCTGCACCCTCAAACCCTTATGGTTACGAGAATCCAGATGCTGCTCCCACAATTCGTCGTAGAGGTCCAGCCCGGCGCCGAGGCTCAGTGACGAAGTTTTCGATTCAAGCAGCTGCTGCTGCAACTGCAGTCACGGACCGGATACTGCAAAAGACAAACCTGCTTTCCAAAAAAAATTGTGACGATGGCCAGAACAAGCCGATGAGACGGTCAACTTGTGCGCATGTCCCTTCTTCCGATGGTAGATTCAATAGAATGAGCATGGACACCGGGAAGTTAAATGATTCGCCACCAACTCTTGTTGATGGACCTTCGAGTGGTGATATGAAACCTACAACACCGAAGCGCCAGGCTAGTTTCAGTGATCCCTTGGAAAAAGCGAAGCAAGCGCTAAACGAAAGTACTGAGAGCATTGGGAAACCGAACAAGAGCTTTGGAAACGTGGCTGTTGATGTTTACGAGAATTCGAGATTTACAGTCGCTGCTCCACAGCGACCACGGCCTCGTAGGAGAGGACCAGCTTTTTCGATTTCCACAGAACCGGAACAAGAACGACAGGATCAGTCAAACTCAACTCTCCAGTCACCTGTGCAGAGCTCTCTGAGTGTGCAAAAGACTCCCGCGTCGTCTCTTGGACCTGAGATGGAAACGTCGCTGAATGATATCCAAGGATTGGAATCACGATGGTCGCTCATTGTGCCTGATCAGTCTTTAGGTCGCACAGTTCCTCAAAGATCCTCTTCCAATCACTCTTTCTTATCCCCGAAACGATCAGGTTCACTTCGTTCTCTTTCTCGAGCTGCTGCAAATCTACGCAAGGAGAAAGGAGAAAGCTCGATGCACGATTCTATCGGATCTATTGCATCTTGGGATGATAATAGTTTCCAAACTCCACAAGCCTCGAAGTACATTCAATCACCGAATTGGCGCAGGAAGTACTCGCGATCGAATTCAGTTGGATCCATTGGAAGCGAGTGCGACTCTTTGGCCTCAGACATGGAATCGCTATGCAGCATTTCCGTGCGTACTGATGATCGACCTGGCTTACCCTCACCGGCGGCTTCATTCAAAAAATGTGTTGTCAACAGGACGCCAAGCAAACTTTCAAGGCACAATTCCAATGGCAGTCTCTTCGGATCAAGACCAAAAGACAACTCTAATGACGATGGTTCTGTGTCTGCTTTGAAGGCTATGAACCTTGAGAACACTTCGAAGCAGCCGTTTGGTGTTGCTCGTGCTGCAAATCCAAATGCTGTATGTCGCAGCTACTCTGGGGACAGGCTACGTGTTTTACGGGATCAAAAGGTTGTTCGTGAACAACATTAGAGAGTCTAGCTTGAACTTGTGAAGTGCAAAGTTCTATTCATGCCCCTTGCGTACACTAATCCTTAGCAGGTCTTTCAGCTGTTTTGCTGAATGTTTGTTCGTTGTTTCAATACAATATCTTTACAGTATGAAGCAAAATAACCTTGTTACTCTGAAAGATGATCACAGTCACACTTTCAGAATGAATTTATGTTATTGTATTTACGTACAGTAGGATGTTAAGCTCTGGCCGCTTGAAGCTTAAATTTTGGGAACAAAGCCCGAAGCTCGCTTCTCCTGTGGATCCGTGTTGTTCTTCTGACGTAGAATTGTGACTTGTGTCTTGACAAGTCTTGCCACAGGGAAAGGGAACAGAGAGCATGAGACGTAGTTCAACCCAACACTGTCAAAGAACTTGATGGATTCAGGATCCTCGCCGTGCTCTCCACAAACAGAAACGGAAAGGTTAAGATTCGATGAGCGACCTTCTGCTTCTGCAGAAGATAGTCTCACCAACCAACCAAAGCCATCCTCATCAATGGTCTTCCATGGTTCCTTCAGTAAGACCCCTTGCTCCAAGTAGAGAGGGATAAAGGCCCCGACATCATCTCGAGATATCCCCTTGTCATTTGTGTCAAATTGTTTGTTCCAAAGGAGAAGAACTTGCACAAGTTCGTCCCGTCTTCTTAGTCTGTGAGCGAAGCAATTTAGTCTGAGACAATCGCAGCAAGGGGAAAATTTGATCATGGTTCTAATGTCGTCTGACTTGTCAAGCTTGTTTTGACGCTTGACCTTTTTGACTGTCTTCTTCACAATGAGAGCTTGGTGTTCAAACTATGAAACTCTTCCGACGAGCGGGATCATGATTCTCGGAAGTGGTTTGCCCTACTGCTTCATCGAGTCTACAGCAGCGCACATAATGGCTTGCCGATTGCTGCAATCAGGTCCTCTGCTTCCTGAAAGTCAAGCTCCCTCACACACGAACTGTTAGAATGAAGCAAAATGTGCTCTATCGTGAGTGCTATTAGCGCTCAGAACAAACTCTCTGCAATCTAAATTTGTAATCGACTGTACAACACTTTCACGACAATAGTTCTCCTGTGTTAGGTATACTTTGAGTGAAATTGTTCCTATCTGATTAAAATGTTTGGCTTGAATTGATGATTCAATCACAAAAGTGAGTTCAACGATTTTCCCTTGGAAAATCCCTTGTTTACAGAACTCGATTCGACTTCTACGAGGATTCTGTGTTGAATACAGTACTTTGGGACATCTTGTATTATTCCCTACTGCATCGTACACAACATCAATATTCCACTTGTATAGGGTCTTTCCCTTTTTGTGTGGATAAAGATTGTCCGGCATACTTGCGTCGAATCCCGACATCACGATCAAAGTCCGATCGCACGTGTCAAAAACTTTGTACTTGAATAGTTTCTTTTGGAACGTAAAAACTCATATTTCGTCATATCCCAACAGTGGTCAAGTGCGCCAAGGATTCGATGCAACTCAAGCTCAAACTCCGCAGGTCGTGAAGACTGGCTATTATGATACATCAAATGTCTTCCACGATGCTATCAAGGGAAAGGATGAGAATGGCAATGATGTCTATCTTATTCCATGTCCTACTGGAACGACTAACGTCAAACTTCAATCCGATTGGCACTATGCTAGTAAAAGTGAAGACTTGTCTGATCTTGCTACTGAAGCAGATCGAGGTATGCAGTTTATTCAAAGCCGCAGAATCGAAAGAGATCCGTTTGGTTTGCTCGATCACGTCATCATGGACAGTGGTTGCACCAACACCACCATTTGTAA